TTTTTTTTTTTTTTTTTTTTTTTTTTTTTTTTTTTTTTTTTTTTTTTTTTTGATTCCTCGATCAAAAGTCAAGTTTCGTTTTGAATTGTGATGGATGGGCTGTCTGTGAAGAAAAAAAATAAAAATGGTTAAAAAAGGCACACATTTTGTCAGACTCGCCATGATGCGGAGTAGTAAGAGTTATGTGCAAACATTTATACATCTTATTTCAAACTGTTTGTTAGTATATAAGGAATATAGAGAGAGTTTGATTCATGATCTCCATGGAAGCAGGTGGTGAGAATGGGGGGAAGTGGAGCACCCAATTATTTTGACGCAAACTCTCTCTCTCTCTCTCTCTCTCTCTCTCTCTCGAGGAGGGAGTGGGAAAAAGGAGGAGTAGGACATGGGTTGTCCAAACATCAAACTACTGATTCCATTATGACCAAACCTTAATATTTTTGTCCTTTCGTCTTGTCCATATATGCCTTCCAACTGATTCTCTTTCCCATAACACACTCCCTTGGGTTCATACATGAATTAGCCTGTTTCAACCCACATTCTTCTGCATGTTTAACAAACTGATGCAAATTCATCTACAATCAACAGAGGAGCATTGATATGTATATATATATAGAGAGAGAGAGAGAGAGAGATTCACAAGCGATGCAACTGTGGATGAGAAGATACAAACTTCTTTATTTTATTTTATTTTCCTTAGTTTCAGCCTTTTCGAGAAACATTTTCAGAAGCAGAAGTTCGTACGGTACACCCAACAGTGATGAATCTGGGTTGGGTTGGGTTGGACAACAATTATGGATTAAGAGATGCTTCCAAAATTAAACATCAAAATAATTTGAACTGTCAGGGAAGGGTTTTTTTTTTTTTTTTTTTTTTATAAAAAAAGTTGTCAGGGGCAGAGAAAGGATATTGTGGGAGGGTTTGTTTGTTCATAGACCGTGGTGGTGGTGGTGAAGGTCAAGGATGGTGAATTTTCTAAATATGACAACCTTTTACCCTTCTCTTTCTAGGTAAGAGAGAGAGAGAGAGTGGTGAAAGATTTGATGGCGTTGTCGTATCAAAGCCCAATGGAGGGAAGGGAAGGGAAGGGAAGGGAAAGAGAAAGGTAGCCTTCATTTGAAGCTTGAAAAGTTGAAAAATGGGGTATGATGGGGAGTGGGACTCGGTTCCTCTCAAAGTCAAAGAACCTTTTAACACACTGTCTACCAGCCCTTTTCCTTTGAATAATGGAATTCTAAACCTCTTTCTTCTCTCCCTCTTTCCTTCGTGCTTACCTTTTTCTCTGATGCACAATCTATACCAACATGACTCTAGCTTCACTTGATGGATGTACTCTCTCTCTCTCTCTCACACACACAATCCATGTCTTATATCGGTTGGAGTAGAACAAAACATTTCTCATAACCGTGTGAACTGTGAGGTTGATGGCGATACATAACGGGCCATAAGAGGATAGTATCTATTAGCGGTGGACTTGGACTGTTACACATGACATAAGAGCAAGAGGGCGGTGTGCTAGTTAGGATGTTGGTTCCCAAAAAGGGTAGATTGTGTAAACCCCCTTGTAAGAGTGTGGAACCCTCCCAAGAGAGGTGGATTATGAGATCTCACATTGGGTGGAGAGGAGAACGAAATATTTCTTGGTGTGGAAATCAACAAGACACTGGCTGGTATGCTAAGACGTTGGCTCCCAAGGGGGTGGATTGTGGGATTTCACATCAGGTGAAGAGAAAAATGATAGAAACATTCTTTATAAGAGTGAAAACCCTCCAAACTGGAATGCATTGTGAGATCTCACATCCGGTGATGACGAAAGAAACGAAACATTTCTTATAAGAGGAGGGTTACATCGAATGAAGAAGGGAACGAAACATTCCTTCTAAGGGTGTGGAAATCCACCCAAGGGAGATGGACCGTGAGATCCCGTATCGGGTGGAGAGGAGATGAAACATTCTTTCTCAAGTTTCTCGATGAAACATTCTTTCTCTAAGATTCTCAAGGTATGCAACTCTCCCAAGGGGGTAATCGCACGTCAGATGGAAAGGGAACCAACAAGACACTAGGGCTGTGTGGTGTGTTATCGAGGACACTTTCTCCCAAGGGGTATGGAAACTATTGTAGGGAGGACACTGGCTACTAAGAGGAGTGGATTATGAGATACCACATCGGGTGGAGAGAACAACAAAATATTTCTTATAACAATGTGAAAACCCTTTCTTGTTAAACACATTTGCTAACGAAACCCTTGTGTGTAAGAATAAGGGTAGCATTAAGAGAACCCTTGTGTGTAAGAATAATGCTGGAATTTCTTACGAGCGTTTGCTACCATTTAGCATTTGGCAACTGCAGTATTCCGTGGTCACAGCATTTGGCGACAATCTTTTATTGTATTGAATACCAAAATTCAAAACTAGGGTTCGGCAACAAAGCATAAATTAGGGAGAAGGAACTCTTACAACAACAACACTGTTTCTAAGACAAAGCGCAACAAGAAGAAGCTTACCAAAACAAACTAAAATGAGAAGAAACAATAATGTACATGGGGGAGAGAACGTAATCTGGTGGCGTGACAAGGATGATGATATATTATTCATATTATTAGTATGCGCATCTTCCATCTCCCTCTGTGATCACATCTTTGAAAGCACCACCACTGGGAATCATCGGCAGCACATGTTCCTGATGTGGTACGATCACATCCAACAGGTAAGGCCCTTCCGTCTCCAGCATCTTCTTCATTGCTGCTCTTAACTCCGCCCTCTTCGTCACACGTGCTGCCGGGATCCCGCATCCCTCTGCAAACTTCAACATGTTGGGGAATATCTCAGATTCGTTTGATGGGTCTCCCAGGTATGTATGAGCTCTGTTGGCTTTGTAGAACCGATCCTCCCACTGCACAACCATGCCCAGATGCTGGTTGTTCAGCAGCAGGATCTTCACGGGAAGTTTCTCAACACTGATTGTTGCCAGTTCTTGGACATTCATCATGAAACTCCCATCCCCGTCGATGTCAACGACTATCGCGCCTGGATTTGCTACTGCTGCCCCCATCGCTGCAGGCAGTCCAAAGCCCATTGCACCTAACCCGCCAGAGGTTAACCACTGGCGTGGCTTCTTGTACTTGTAGAACTGAGCTGCCCACATCTGATGCTGCCCCACCCCTGTGCTTACGATGGCCTCGCCATTGGTTAGCTCATCAAGAACTTGAATTGCATACTGTGGAGGAATGGCCTCATCAAATGTCTTGAAAGTCAATGGATACTTCGATTTCTGCTCATTCAGCTCCTCTCTCCACGCAGAGAATTCAAAGTGAGGCTTCTCAACCTTCTCAAGTAAACAATTCATTCCCTGCAAGGCCAACTTCACATCGCCACAGACCGATACATGGGGCTGCTTGTTCTTCCCAATCTCGGCAGAATCGATATCGATATGAACAATCTTCGCACGGCTTGCAAAGGCCTCAAGTTTCCCTGTCACACGGTCATCAAATCGCACTCCAAATGCAAGCAACAGGTCCGCTTTATCCACAGCATAGTTGGCATAAACTGTCCCGTGCATTCCCAGCATTTGCAGAGACAAGTCATCGGAGCAAGGAAAAGCCCCAAGACCCATCAGAGTGCTGGCCACTGGAATCCCGGTCAGCTCGACAAACCGCCGCAGCTCCTCTGACGAATTCAAACACCCTCCACCCACGTAAAGAACAGGCTTCTTAGATTCAGAGATCAATCGCACAATTTGTTCCAAATGCAAATCAATGGGAGGCTTAGGTAATCTAGACAAGTAACCAGGTAATTTCATGGGCCGATTCCAATTAGGAATCGCGAGCTGTTGCTGAACGTCTTTGGGAATATCAATAAGAACAGGACCAGGACGACCAGAAATTGCGAGAAAAAATGCCTCGCTCACAATCCTAGGAATGTCATCTACATCAAGAACCAGATAATTGTGCTTTGTAATAGAGCGTGTTACCTCTACGATGGGAGTTTCCTGAAACGCATCGGTACCGATCATTCTCCTCGGAACTTGCCCTGTAATGGCCACCAACGGAACGCTGTCGAGGAGGGCATCGGCAAGGCCGCTGACCAGATTGGTGGCGCCGGGGCCGGAAGTTGCAATGCAAACGCCGGGAAGGCCAGAGGAGCGAGCGTAACCCTCGGCGGCGAATACCCCGCCCTGTTCGTGGCGAGGGAGAACGTTACGGATGGTGGGGGAGCGCGTGAGGGCCTGATGGATCTCCATGGACGCGCCGCCGGGGTAAGCAAAGACATCGGTGACGCCTTGGCGCTCGAGAGCCTCGACGAGGATATCGGCGCCTTTTCTGGGTTCATCAGGGGCGAATCGAGAGACGAAAATCTCAGGAGTGGGGATGGTGGAAGTGTCGACAGCAAGGGCGGAGGCTGTGGTGGAGGAAGGTTTTGGGGAAGGATTTGAGAGAGAGCTGCTGCAGATGCGAAGAGGACGGCGAAAAATGGGATTGCGAGGAAGAGGGGAAAATGAAAGATCGAATCTGGAGAAGGGTTTAGGAAGAATAAAGGAGGAGGATTTGGAGAAGGATTTGGAGGCGCAGGGAGATGTAGCCGCCGCCATTGATGACATGGTGAAGGATGAGGCGATGAGGGATCAAGCAGCAGAGAATTGGTGTATGAAGTAGTGGTTCGCAATGATCTTAGCATTTATACTCATTATTTATCCAGCTATTATTACCGCTGGATATCCCTGGATTCCCACAAATTAAGTTGCCCTTTCATTTATTTTCGGTCAAAATAACAATTTTTTTTTTTAAATTTCTTAAATATTTGAATATTAATTGTGTTGTTATTATTATTATTTTTATATATATATATATATATATATATAAACAATAGTAGAAGAAAGTGATAACAAAAATAGAGTTTATAAGCTTAATTTAAATAAATAAAATAATAAAAACAAATAATCCCAAGTGTACGTAAGACAACTAAAAAACAAAGTTATGGTTTCAGTCCTCCTTTGGTCTCGTTTCCCTTCACTCCCTCTTCCTGTTTATATTTTTTTGTCTCTATCAAGGGTTTACAACAGAGCCCTTTTTTAAGTGTTAAAAATTAATGTATCTAATTTTTGTAGGACATATATACATACACTACAAAAATTAGATTCATAATTAATTAAAATTCATCACACTTTATACATACACTAAAGTTATAGCAAATATTTTTAAGATTATCATTGAAAAAACTATATATAAAAAAATCCTGGAATTTTCTAGAAGATCAACATCTAATGTTATAGATTCAAGAAGACTTATCGCTTTAAGCTTGTTTAGCCTACATAACGTGTCCTAACGTTTAAAAAAAAGGAGGCCAATGGTATCCAACATAATGCTCCTGAGGCCAACAAGGTAAAAAAGTTGATCTTAACCAGACTGTAAAAGCAAATTGATATCAGCAACGTAGAAACAGCAATTTAAGAAAAGTAATGTCAATTCCACGACAACTAGTAAAAGTTTTTACAAGTTTCTAAGGGTAACCACGTTCGAAAAGAAGGAAACATAAAAGAAAAATACACTTAGTTTTACGCCCTGGATAGCATCAGCAAAATGCATCATTTTTTCATTGGCACCACACAGCAGATCATCTACACAAGAATTGCTCAACTGCAGGGGAAACAAACATCAGATTTGGAAAAGCTAAGAATGACAAACAAGTTCAAGTTGGGATATAATTTTGAATATCAACTTCCATACAAATTTTTGACACCTTTCCTTCAGTCTTTGGATGTACACGCCAATTTATTTTCAAATATCTTTGATGAACAGTTAATGTGATGATATATGTGTGTGTTTAAGAGGGTATCACCGAGTGGACATAAGTGTAGCTGAAAGGAAGCTTCTGGGCCTTATAGTTAGATCTCACAAGTCTCACCTCTAGTCACAACTGCCTTCCACGTCTGTACTTAATCTCAGCAAGGGAAGATGGAAGATGTACTGAAATTTATTTTCAACACGGAGTGCTCTTCTCAAATATATTCAGCATCATAAACAAACTTTTGAAGTTCCCGACATCATATGATCAAACAAGAACAATATCTTCCTTTGAATTGGGGGCAACTAAAAGTTGGACCATCCTTGCCAATTTCTAAGAGCATCTATCTCATCCATTTCTCTCCAAAATCTTCTAGCTGAAGGATTTTTAGAAGAAAATTCAAAAAATCTAAAAAATACCAATCCTTGTACTAACCTGTGATATTCTAAAAAAACAACCTTTGTCAAGATGTACTTTCACCATCTAACCCTTCTTTCTTCTTCTTACGTCTTCAATTACCTCATTAGTGATTAGAAGAGTGTTGTAATTAGTGATTAGGTCTTCAATCAACATAGTCCTCCTTTATTCAACACCTTCTCAATCCACAAGCAGCCATCCTCATTCCTAATTGGACGGATTTTTATGAAGAATTGTGATTAGTAGGAGGGAGCACTAAATCATTCAACAATTCTTTAACCAATCTACTAAAAAGTGACCAACACGAGCTTTTGACCCGATGCAGGGGCATTTCTTCGTTAAGGAATGGTATCTATAACACTAATACCAACACCCTCATCCATCCTTATGCAAGGACGTTCATTTTCAAATCATCTCTTCCAACTGTTTTTATTGCACCGACACCTTTTGGAAACATGGATAGAACTTGGGAGTTGAAAGACATTTTTACTTTCTCTCAGGTAGTAAGTTCAAATTTCCTTCCACCTTTAATATTCTCAAATAGTAAAATCTGTCATCATACAGCATTGAATAGCCCATAAGTGGTGAACGAATTAATAACCATGAGATGTGCTTAAAAGGGTTTTTTTTTTTATTTTATTGTTATAGAATCAACTGATTGAATCCAAAGGCTTTCACAACCATCCTCAACCATTGCTGTTACTGTCGATTTGAAACTTCTGTTTCATTAAGAGACAGAAAGAGATCTTCATTACGTGAAAAAAGAAGATATAAAAGAAGGGTGAGTGATAAGAAATCAACCAAGTCAAGAGGGTTACAAAAATTCCTCCAATTGGCATTAATAAAAAGGAAAGCTACTGATATTGATACTTGATGGGCGATTCATATAAACATGAGAGTGAGAGGGAGGAAAATAAGATAACAAAGGATAAGGTTTCTTTTAAAACATTTAATCAGATTCATCAAGAAGAGAGAAAAGAGTACAAAAGTTATTAGACAGCAAAACCCAAAATGAAGCTTCAAACCCAACAGCACCAAAGAGACAAAATCCTATAAAATCCTGAAAATTACTCAACAAATCAGCAGGCACATTCTTGCTGGGGGATTACTCAGTAAGGAAAGAGGAAAAAGGCAACAATCCCAACATGCAATCTCTCGATAAAGAAGACGTAAATGTGAAAATCAGTAAAAACATGAAAAAGAAAGAATTCAATTCAGCTTGATCACGGCACAAATCTGGATGGAACACAAGATGACGCTTAAAGACGTATTCTTATATTGTGCATTACTAATTCAAATGACACAAATAACCATAAACACCTACCTCTGACCATCAAGATTGCCCTGCCCGCTGCTGCCCCCACTCGCGTAAGAACCATCCTCTGCGGCGGGCTGCCACACCGATTGCCACGCCTGCGACGGCGGCTGAGCGTAGACTCCGGTGGGATCCATTGCCGGTCTCCCAATCATCATCCCCCCAGGGGGACCTGCCGGTTGGCCCATAGGCGGATAATAGTACGGCACTCCACTGGCAGTGGCTCCAACCATGCCACCCAACCCAGCCTCGTCCTTGATCTCATCCCTAGGCACAATATCAACCAAGAAATCAAAGATATCGGTCCTCGTGATGGCCGCTGCAATATCATTCTTCTGCAATGTCCGCCTCTTATTCTCTTCCGCGTGGAGCCATGACCTAATCGTGAGTTCAAGAATGAAGAGCTCGCACGCCTTGGCGAACAAAATGGGTGCCTCAGCGGATATCATACGCACGTCCTCATCGGCTTTCATGATCTTCTTAATGCGGGCCAAAGGAAGCTGATGGTTTTTAAAGTCGTTAACCTGTTCGATTTCTTGGCGCTGAAAGGACCAGAACATCTGAAGCTGTTGCTGCTGCTGCTGAAGGAGGTGGTGTAAGGGAGGGGCCGGAACAGGGGCCTGAGGAGGAGGGTAAGGGGAGGATTGGGCTTGGTTGTTGCTCTCCATCGGCCGACGACGGCGGCAGTTCCAGAAGGGCTTGGCCAAATGCAGCAGGGGATTTAATGGGAGGATGGTGGGATCTAAGTGAGGAGCAGATTTGAGGAAGAGATTTGGGGGACGAGAGGTTTAAAAAAAGGGAAGAACGAAGGAACTCCCAAAAGAGTTGAGAATTGAGATAAGGAAAGAAACAGGCTTTGAGTCAGAGGATTCGTTTCCCTACCTCCACCCTCCACCTCTGCGCTTTAAACATTTCATCTCCCCTAATTTCTTTATTTTTCAATATAATTATTTAATTAATCACTTCTTTCCTTTTTGAGTACAAAGTTGAAACATGGAATTCTAAAACCTAATTTGATGGCATACAAAAGAAATGAGATTAATTCAGACCAAAATTTGTTCTAAAACTTTTATTGCAAAAGAAGAACAATGCTTTTTTTCCTTTTCCTGGTTTAATTAAAGAAAAAGAAAAAGAAAAAGAAAAGTGTTGAGCCCCCAAAAGCCCCGAAGAAGTTTCTGCAAGAAGCTGTACAAGTTGTCCAGTGGCCAAAAGTAGGTTTGGCATTGCGGCAGACAATGCCTTTTCTTTAACCACATGCCCACTCACTTCTCACTTCTTTCTCTCTATTTCCCTCTTTATTTTCAAACCACTTCTCTTGTATTTCAGTATCAGCACACACACACACACACTTCAACGCAATAAACCAACCATCCATTATTCAGTGCCCTTTATAATCTATTTTCTAGAAAGCTCTAAGAATGAACTGTGAACAACCAACAAAATTTCACACATTAATTCAGTCAGTCAAAGTGCGTACCCAGTTGTTGATGCTTTGGAAAGCAGACCACATATTATGCGCCCTTCATTTTCCTGCAACGTTAAATGAACCCAAGAGAATAAGAATGTACCTCTTCCATAATCTACGATTTAGCCTTCTTTCTCAACAGATCAGATTTGGATTCTTCCAGTCAAACACACTGTGAGGTTGTGAAGTCTATTTCAATCTCCTCAGACAGATCATCATATATATTCCATTCCTACTACCCCATCACACAAAAAACATATGAGAGGCAACAATCAAAATGGAACTATAAACACCTTTCCACAATTAACATATATTCCTTTTCTCTTCGGATCATTTGACTTCGAGCTGCATTCTCTGTAGGCAGCCAGGCAGGGAAGCAAGAATTTTGTAAAGGAAATCAAGAGCCATGCACCATCCAGATATATGTATATCCAACAACTCAGATTTGCACGAACTGGATTTATCATTAAAAAGAGTGAATATTGTACTGGGTGATATAATGGCCCTCGAATGTACAAGTAAAAGTAATTACATCTTTTGGAGCAAACAGTTAAATTAGCCTATCACTCTGGAGCTACGATGCCATATACCATGTGGTCCATCAAAGCCAAAGGAAACTGCCTTTTCCAACACTCTCCGAGCTCCCCACAGAACTGAAGCTGAAATTAGTATTGAGGGTGTCAAAAACTAGACAAAATTGTATAGCCCAAACACTGCAGAGAGAGTAAAACTAGACTAAAGAAATACTTCTCCGCATGTATCGCCAATTAATATCTCTCACGGTCGGTCGAGGAGACGAATAAAATGAACAAAATAAAATCAAAACAAGGTTTAGGCTGGAGGATTGGTGCTTAGAAGCTGTACTGTGTATGGCCCTGTGCTGCTGCTATCCTCATGTCTATGGTATATGTTCATCTGAGAACAACTTCTCAAAAGTTTTCTAATGTGCTGATAACTCGGCACCAATTGCCACTTTTCCCCGGAACCGCTTCCGGCTATACACCATCATCTTTTGAACTTTTGTCTTATTTCCATTATGCATCATCAGTTTATCCTTAACTTTAAGATCTTTCATAGTCGTTTCTACATTATTCTCAAGGTTTGCTACTTTAGCAGTTTTTGTATCCTCAAGTGGATGCCCATCCGTAGCCTGTTCAGCGCTCTGAATCGCTTCTTCTAGTTCTATTTCAGCTTCCTTGGCAACTTGAAGAAGTTCCAAAGGCGTTGCAGCCGGATCGAGCTCCCAGCAACCAGAAGGAGCATTTTGACCTTCAAGACCAGTAAGCAAGCACGAAGGGACCTGGTGAGAAAATCGAAACATTTCTTCTCTGGGAATATTCTGGATCTTTGATGGATCGATGTGCTGCTGAAACACAGTCTTGAATCCAACAACTTTAACTAATGGAACAACAGCAACCCCTCTATCTTCATTGTAATCCTCAAGGACTTCCACCATGTCATATTTGTGTATAACATCGTCTGGGGTAAGCTCATTCCAATCAGGAGACCAATTCCTATATAGCGCCCACACATCTCCTTTACTAGGAAATATTCTAATAGCTCCTCTCTTGCCTTTTACCTGCTTAACCTTGTGTGAGAACGAATTGAGAGAGCCATAATCTTCATGCTTACCGATCCAGAAATCCCCACTCGTCTTCGGAAATCCACAACCAATCCAGTTCAATGGGGCCAGTTCAGTGTTACTTTTGGAATTAAGCCAACTGATTCTCATTTTGAACGGTTTTAACGATATAACTTTACGAACCATGGCATAATATCGGGGCATACCATCATCATCGTCATAAACAGCCCAAACCTGATTACTACCAAACGATTTTTCCGCACGATCCTTGTCAAAATCGTGAAAATCTGGATCAGGAACGCTCATGGAGAAAGATTCAGAAGCCTTGGTGTCTGGACGCTCACCAGAACTTGGAGGTAAAGGATATTTGGTCCCCAATTCATCTTTACGACACACAGTATTTAAATATTTACTGGATTTCATACCATTTGGAACAACACTTTTCCCCTCTTTCTCTTCAAAAAGATCCTTGTTAGAATTCTCTGTCTTTTGCAAAATAGTCGATGACACGTCTGCTTTCCATTCATTAAGCTTCTTGTGGATTTCATTCCTAGCCTTCCCCATCAACATCTGTCGCAATTCCAGCTGGGAAAGCTCCCTTGTATTAGCAGATCTAAATTTTCCAGTGATTGACCTCCTTCCTTCAAAGCTATATTTTTGGGACCCGCTACTCTCCTTTATAATCCCTCCATTTTCTATTTCCATTTGTTTAAGAAAGTCTCTGATGCTACCTGACATTTTATGCCCTGTTTTGCGTCTTTTTTTCTTTGGTCTATCTCCTTTGTGTGCAGAACAGGCACTGTCATTGCAGGATGTAGAGGCAAAACCACCATCCCCTTTGTCGGGAGCGTGATCTTCTCTCAGAGAAGACTCCACTTCCTTAGCTGCCAATTTGCCATCTTTATGCCCCATATTCATCTTTGGAGATGATGGTTTGAAGAAACTAAAAGCTTTAGCTGCTGAAGAAGCTGATGTTTTCATACTTCCAGCTGCTCTGTGCTTACATGATGTACCAGACTGAAAAGATTTACGCATGGAATTGGTACTACTATATCCTCCTGCATCCACACCTCTAGGAGAAAACTCTGTCTTTTCCACACTAAATGATTTCTTGAAATGGCTGTATGCACTGGAAGCCTGTTGCTGATTGTTGAAAGTCCGTGGAGAGGATGGCGGATTCAGATTGAACGGTGGTGCTGGGTTCTCAACAGCCAAAAAGGATATGCAGCAGTTAGGACAAACAAGATTATGATTAAGATAAGATCTGAGATACTCAAAATGCACCTTGCATGAATTGCAAATTGTCCAAAACGTGGGTTTCACTGGATGAGAAGCTGGAGCAGAAAGGACCTCATCATCACTTCTCCAATGCCATCTATTCGAATTATTATTGGGGGAGAGATTATGGAAACCATTCCGAACAATTGGAACTGATGACCTAATTTCAGTGGACTTCATAGCCATACCTCTTATATTCCGCTTCTGGTCAAATGCTTCTCTTTTGGTTTTGTCAGACAACAAGCTCCAAGCTTCAGATACAATTTTAAAAGCCCCATCTGCACCAATTGATTTGTTTTTGTCAGGATGAAGAATGAGTGCCAGATTTCTATAATGTTTCCTAATGGTTTCTTCATCAGCCAATGGATCCACACCAAGGACCCTGTACCAATCAATGCATCCATCAATTCTTTTCTCCGCGGACAAGTAAACATTCAGATTTGCAATAAATTGTGGAAGACCATCGAGGCTGGGATACAAGCTGTGAGCCCTCAAGGCAAATTTAACTGCGGCCGCAATGTCCATCTCTGCGAACTTTTTCTCAGCAATCTGCTTGGCCTTAGAGGCATCATCCTTAATGCAATCCATCCCCTCAATACTGAAATCCTGCTAATGATGAGTTCTTGACTATCCTTCTACTTTTCTGAAAGTGCTAGCATAATCGAATCAACGTGATTGCTCTCCAATGCAAATTCACCAATATCCTTGGATAGACCATCAAGAAATAACCCAAAACCTTGAAAGCCCTAAAAGCAGAAAAGGAATAAAGGAAAATACTTAGATAGACAGAGTAGGCGACACAAAATTCATGCCAAAATTTATGAAATTTATTGACAGGAGCAATTAACAGCTTCACTCGAGAGTTATAAATGTAAAAATATCAATGAATGTTTTGCCTAATCCATCAAATCCATTTTCTACCCCATCAGAGACCTATGATAGTCAATCAGATCCAAGAATTTCATAACGAGAAAACTCAACAATGAAGTAAAAGAACTTCTAAATAAGAACATTTTCAACATCAAAACATAGGAAAAACAAAGCAATAGTGGAACCTACATTCTTCATCAGAATGTACCAGAAGAAGCATGCTACAGTTCTTAAAGAGTTTAATCATCCATTGGTAGGTTGGATGCTGGAACCAAATCCCATGAAAGGCAGCTGGTTCATTGATTACCCTGATCTCATTTAATCAGGAAGAAACTAATCATTATCCTATTAGAGGGGCACAGTCTCATTCCCATATACTTCCACATAAGCTGAACAACAAGAAGGAGCGTTAGAGAGAAAGAAATTAAGAAAGATAGAGAAAGCCCTTTTCACATTCGAACCACCCCCCTCCACGGAAAACAATAACGAAACAAAATCAATCGAAGAAAAGTTTGGGCAGTTGGTTACGGTATCAGAGAGTTTCATATATACCAATTTTCAGTAACCCTGGCAAAAACCCTACATTTTTCTATCCTATTGAAGTACAATCTAAGAACAATGGCGACGGATCATATTCCTGAAATGGCAGAAAGCGAAGGTATGTAAGGAAAGATTATAACGTACAGCAAATCCCTTGTGTGAGATGTGAATCGCCGGAAACTATTGAAGAATCTGGATAACAATTTTGTCGATGAAATCTCTCTGCCACCCCGCTTTGAATGTGGAAAAAAAGGGAAAATAAATCCCAATTCAGATGGCACCAAGTGAAAATATTTCCCCAGCCTGCAGAAAATTGGGTATTTGCATGGCAAATATATATAGCAACTCAGTTTTCCTAGTCCTTCAAATATTTTTTTGCTAATGCTTATAAAATTGACCTAACTACGGTTATTTTTCTTTAACTCTGGTTATTGGGGTTGCAATATTAATATAGACAAATTCAGTTAAAAATTTAAATTTTTTTATCCTCTTCCCAAATAAATGCCAACATCTTCACACAACCAAAGTGTATTTACAAGAAGGGTGGTTAGAACATGCAGGACTAAGTTGACTAGTTATTAATGAAATTCTTTGAACCACTCACATTACTTTTGACGCATTCAGTTTTAGTTTACGAAAATAATACATAACTCAAGATGGATTACTTCCGATTAAGCATAGATATGCAATGCGAAGATGAACTATTTTGAAGTCGTTTCTTTCCCTTCAGAGCCAAATGGCTCCTGTTCAAAGTCTATTATCCCATAAACAATGATGCAATTTTGGAGGTTCCATTTAGTTGCGTTGTTGATGCTCTGAGATGGTTGTGAGCTGAAATTTGGGTGCCAAAAGGCAGCCATAGACAGTATCAATGCAGAGCTCAGTACCACGTTTCAGACATTGGATACTTCCCCCCATGCAAGAGGATTGTGCAGTTTGGGAAATGCCAAGTTAAGAAGAGTACAGAAAAGAAAAGAAGGCTTATTAGGAGCAAGGCCACAGCAGGCATTCATTGATATGGCCATATAGAGCTGCTGCCTTTGGAACAGATATTGTCTGCATTTATGTTACATTGCCATCAAAGAGAAAACTGTCGCTTACAATGAAATTACAGAAGCTGCCTTGACACCCTTGTTGTGTACATGCATCTTAAAATTGCCCAAACATTCGAGTGAAAAATGGTGTTCTGAATCCTTGTCTTGTCTTTCAGTTCCATACAATCATCCGACAATGCCACCACAGCTATTGTGTCTAAGCTACCAATAAAGATGACAGTTTCAAGAATGGTTAGAAATTCAATAAGATCTTCATCAGTTTCATTTACATTGGTGAAGTCTTGAGGCGAGAGGAATCTCATCATAGAAACTGCAGGACGAGGCAAAGGCTGTGGATAACAAGAAACTTGAGCCATCAAATGAGCTAACTTATCAGAGGCTTTGAGAATTCTATGTCAGTAAAGAGTTGCAAGCAGTAAACTGGATTAGATGACATCCACTTACAACTGTAAAGCAAATACTCAGCAAAAACACCCTTTTTTTTTATAAGCAAAAGAGACGCGGTGAGTCTCATGGTTTTTAAAATGCATCAACTAGGTAGAAGTTTCTACACACTTATAAGCAATGATTCGTACCCCTCTCTTCAATTGATTGACGTGGGATCTCACAATTTATGCTCTTTAGGAACCCAAAGTCCTCGTTGACATACTAGCTGATGTTTTGCTCTAATACTATTTATAACAGCCTAAGTCTACCGTTAGCAAATATTGTTCGTTTTTACCAGTTACATATCGCTATTACATCTTTATAAGGAATGTTTTGTCTCCTCTCCAATGGATGTGAGATCCCACGGATAAACAGTTAAGGCAGTCGCTTTGAATATGAATATTTAGCTGATGCAGCAAATCTAGGCTCGGTAGAAACAATAAGAAACTATAGGTATGAGTCAATGAAGACTTTTTGCTAAGCTTGAAATCTGATGATTTTTATATTATTTTAATAATTAATCACAGTTTTACCAATAAGTCGATATGTCCGAGTGGTTAAGGAGACAGACTTGAAATCTGTTGGGCTTCGCCCGCGCAGGTTCGAACCCTGCTGTCGACGATTATTTTTAATTTCATTTGTTTTATTTATTTTTTTTTTTTTTTGGCCTTCTCGATTTCAATTTACCGATGAGGGTTAGGGTTTCATGTGAACATCAGAAGTGTGATTGAAAGTTGGAATTGGGATTTTGGTTGATTCCGAAGGCTCTCTTTACGAATTCGGTGGATTTTCGGTTGGCGTAGCAGCACAAAAGCATCTGTTTTTTTGTTCTGGAAAATTTTGATGGAAGAGAAACCCACTAATGTTTTGTCTCTTCCCCAGACAACTCAAGAGCTTGCAATGGAGGGCATCAAGCATCTTGAGGAAACGATAGAATCCGCATTCCAGATCCTATACTCCATGAATGACGAGCTCTGCAATCCCACATTATGGTCCACCACTTCTTCAACAGCAACGACGACTACTTCTGGTTTAACAATTGCCAGCCCAAATGCTCCATCTTCGCATTCCACTAATGGAGTTGTAAACGGCGATGCAAGTTCGGAAAGCACAAACCATCACACCGACACCAGCAGTGGCGGAGGCAGCGGTAGTGGGGGAGCCCTTGAGGAGGCCCGTGTTCGCTACAAGAATTCAGTACTTGCACTTCGTGCTATTCTTGCTGCAATTCCCAATTCTCAGAAGGTAAATTACTGACTGATCTTCCTCTTATTCGTCTTTGTTCATCACCCAGCGTTTCTCATTTCTCATTTCATTTTTCATTTGGCATGATTCGAGATTGATTCGGAGATATTTGGTTCCCCCATGTTACAAAATGCTTTGTGGAGAACATGGAATTTTTGTATTCAATTTCAGCCGAATGCCTAAAATTCTTCCTGAATTTGATAGATTGCAGATACTACATTCGACCTGGTTTTCATTTTCACCACTGCTGATAGATGCGTGGACTTAATCCATGTCTATGAATTTGATAGATTGCTAACTGCATTGACTTGTTGTTCACTTATGCCGATTAAGCGACTTAAATCAGAGTTTCATGGTTTATTGATAGGCAAAAGCACATGAATCGGGTACAAGCGGTCATGCATCGCCTGCAGACCAATCTGAAATTGATAAGTTGGAACAACACCTCTCTAATCTCAGAAAGGTATTCTATTGTATCTTCAGCTTGTAAATTCATGTCAGTAATTTATTTTTTCTTCAAGACTCTTAGGATTACAACCAGTTAAAATTTTCTGGCAAAGATTTCGTTTGGGAACCAAATATTTGTGGAAATAATTTACTTATATAAGACTTTGGAGGTAAATATATAGTTAAATTTACTAAAATATGTACAAATATTGATGAAACTGAGAAGGTCTTTAAAGATTTCAAGACAACAGTTCTGTTTGTCTTATTGTTTGTTGTATATCAGAATAGGAAAGATTTTGAAACTAAATAGACAATTGAGAAAATCAAATATTGAAACTAATAACGTTATGGAGGTTCTGTCATGGATATTATAGGTAATATGCTTCTTCCTAGAAATGACATCTTCTTTTTCTTTCAACTGCTATCTTATATGGGTCCTATCTGCGGTGTGTTTGCAGGAACTTATGGTTAAGAACTTGCATATAAAGCTTCTGATAGATCAACTACGAGAACTTGTTGCTGATGTATCTACATGGCAAAGTCCTTGTTCTGTATGAAAAACACGACTAGCCTTGAGTCTCCTCACTAATCTAGGTGTCGTAATTTGAAAATGTCTTGCGCTGTTTCTTTATAAGATGAGCTGTTATTAGAACGTTTCTTTATAAGATGAGCTGTTATTAGAACGTTTCTTTATATATCTCTTCAATGAAACTGGGATTATAAATTTGCCATTGGCACCAGATTGTTAATAGAACTTAAGGCTCTCATAAATCAAGTACCAGGAGTAAAAGGTTCAATATTTCCATGAAGCAGACGAATCCTTAAATAAGAAAATTTGTTAACTATTTCAATGAACGACACTCGTGTGTAAACATTACCTTAGTTTTTCTTAGAAGTCATCTGCAAAAACCCATTAAACACTCTTTAACACACTTGGATGCACACAGAAACAACCATATGGTATCAGCGTATGAAACATAGATACACTTGTTCGCGAGTTCTAAAATCTAGCTAGTCTGGAATAAGAATTTGTGGCCGTGTAGGGGTTTTATACCATCGAAAAAGAATGCATTCAGTTGTGCATTGAGGATCTTGTAGTAAGGGAAGATCTCATATCCACAATGGCAGATTCATCTGCACCCAACTTGATTGCCTCTTTGCTTGCTCTGATGAACCTCGAAACAGCTCCTCTAGTGTAGTCATGTGCTTCTTTAACCGTCATCTTCTCGCTTATTTCATTAGGGAAGCTGCTTAGGAAATGATCACCATTTAGAACAGCAGCTAACTGTACAACCTCGCTCTGAAACTCGGAAAGTCCACTGTTTTCTTTAGCTTCTGTTTTCCTCAAAGGTGTCACTTCGGGCAAGGTTACTGCAACAAGTGTTGGGGAGATTAACGAAATATGAATTCAGAAATCTTACACCTCAACTGAAGATTAACTCTGCATACAATTGGGAAAACGTCGATGTGTCGCAACCGGTATAGATTGATGATACCTGGGCAGTCTGTTCGTGGCGAGGTTAACTGGCCAACAATGTCCTCAAATGTCCCAGCCCATGCATCTCTGTGAGTCAGGAAGTTAGAGGAGAGATTGAATATTTTCTTTATGGTAGCAGGAATTGAGGAATGCTCAAACTCAGAGTTTGGAGTAGGACCCTTGGGACTGCTTATAACTGCAAAACAAACAGAAAGTTAGAGCTATAAACACACCCCAGAAGAAATAGCCAAACAATCAACTATTTGTATGTGCTGAAGTCATTTTGATGATGCAGACTCTAAAACAAGCATCACCCTTCTTTCCAGTCACTAATTAAGTTCCTATACCATCTTCATCCCAACAGCTCCAACTGGCGTGGATCCCAATTCCAACCAACTCTTTGGCCAGAGGGAGCCTCAGGATTCCCACCACCGACCTGGCACTGGCTTCCCAAGTAGCCAGCCTGGGATGACTGTAAACCACGCGAGGAGAAAAAACACCGACCAGACCCATGTGAGAGTCCTTTGCTTTTGTTGAGAGATGAGTAGAGCTATAAGGTTCAATTTCAAGTTGTAAGGGTTGTTGATTCAGTGTAGAACGTTAAGGGGTGAGAAGAACTTGGCTTACCAGTCCCTTTCTTAATCCAAGGCGAAACCATAATTGTAGGCACACGGACGCCAAGCCGATCGAACTTGAAGAAATAGGGAGCAGGGCCTGTGTTTCCATCAGGATTAGGAACATTGACAAAAGGAGTCTTGACATGGTCAAAAAATCCACCGTGCTCATCGTAAGTGATTATCAGAAGGGTTTGGTTCCACTGTGGGCTAGCCCTCAGAGTCTCGTAAACCTCTTTCACCAGCTTTTGCCCATTGGCAACATCATGGGATGGGTGGTCATCATTTGCAGGCATTCCCACAAGATCAAAGTACCGTGGCTCAATCACAGTTAAGCTGGGAAGCTTCCCATTTCTAGCATCCTTTTTGAACTGCAAATCGTAGGGATGAAACTTGAAAATGTACTTCAATTTCCTCAAGTTTCTATAAAACAGGGTAGTGGGTATGTTCTGGAAGTAAACTCCGAAGTCGAGGCCATTCTCATGTAGTGAATCGAAAATAGTTTTCTGGGGATACCCGAGAGCCAATTGCTTCTTCACATGGCTTGTTGAACCATGAGAAGTTGCAGAATAAACAAACAGCCTATTGGGTTGAGTTGGGCCAGGGATTGAAGAGAACCACCTATCAAACACAGCAAACTCACGAACCAAAGCTCCATAAATGGGCACAGCTTCAGGTTTGAAGCCTTTCATAACAGTTTCAGAGAGGTTTGATGACATTGAGAGAGCCTGTTCCACAAAGCCAGACATGGAAGGAATGGAATTAGAGCCAAATACCTGCTGTAACACGTCCTCAAATGAATGGCCCGGATCCGGATCTACAAACTCAGCGTCGTCAGAGAAGCAAATGGTTTCAGGGTTGGGATTCTTGGTTGAAACAGGGTTGCATTCGTCTCCAGTGACGCCATTGATTCGTGGGTCGATGTATTTCTTCATCCATCCAATCATGTGATCGAAGGAACGATTCTCCATCACCAAAACCACCACGGTTTTGATGGGTTGCTGCTGGAAAGTGCGTTGAGGAATCCATGAGAGAGTGAGAAGAAGAAAGAAAATGAAAGGCAAGTGAACTGTCACTTTGCTTCGCCGTCGTCTCATTGCTATCACTGCGAGCAGAGGGAAGGGAGAACAGAAGAAGATAACTCCGCCAAACTTACTCCAACAACCCAAAAGAGCGCTTAAAAATGGGGAAAATGGATTGTGGATGAGAATGTTACAGAGAAATGCCACTTTAAAAAAGCAATATCCCCTGGTCGTGACTAAGAGAGAGAGAAGGAGAGAGTAGCTAGGAGTGGATTTTGCTATATACGCAGAGAGAGAGAGAGAGAGAGAAAAGCAGAAGAAGTTTCTGGTGTTGCGTGTTTCAAAAACAGTGCAATTTAAAAGTAAAGAATACAATAAAAGCGGAAAAAAAACTTGGAAAATTGGGTCTCTGCCATTGTTTATCCTTCCTTCCTTCCTTCCTTCCTTCTCTGCAATCTTTTAACTCCGATTAAATGTTGTTGTGCTCTTATTTTACGAAGATGCTGATTAAAAAAATTATTTAATTGATTTGATTTATTGGTTGTATGAGAAGATTGTTTGAAATTAAATTAAGAGGGAGAAGAGAAGGTGAAGGCGTTCACGGACTGTGTTTGGCTTGGAATCAATAATAACATGCATTTGTGGGATTTTTAATTTCAGGAAAAAAAAAAAAAAAAATCTCGCTGTCAAAGTATTTCAACTTCAGCCATTATTGTAATTTGTTTTTATTTTTTAAAAAAAACATTATTATTATTATTAACGCGTGACAACCAGAGACGACCCCGTGACACCTTCCCTTCCCCGGATGACACATCTTTCATTGGTTTTGTATATATAGTTTAAACTTATGAATAGAAAACTAAAGAACATTACAAGTATTCAACATACTATATAATAATCTGCTTATTGCTAAAAGTTTAAAGAGAAAGAACTTCAAAATGGATTGAAAAATCATTACATACCGAACTTGAGGCTTGAGCCTGAGCCATCACTTATTGTCTTATACAAGACGGTAAAAGAAAATAAAAGGTGATCGTGTTCTTCCGCATTGGCCCGAAGTGGTATATATTCACATCGACCAACAATCATATAGATAATCAAGCAAGCAGATGAGAGCTAAGAGAATATTTATGTATGGAGGAGTGTAGAAAGTTGACTTATACTCGAGATCTCCACGAATTCATGGAGCTGCAAAACCTTCAGACACATGAACCACATCTCGTCAACTCTCACGGGTGTAAATGGAATGGCATTCCTTTCATGCACAAAATCAACAATCCCATAACTTAAACAACTTTTCTTCATAAAAAAATATGACCTTTTCAACCAAAACAGATTATAAGCACAAGCACCGAGGCTCTTCCGACTGTTCCCAATAAGGGCTCAAATTTCGGAGGTTACTCGGGCCAAAATTATTGAATAGAATGTGTATGAATTTCATTAATTAATTACCAGATCTTCTCATGTATGCTAACACGCCTAACCCCGCAACAAGGGCGGCTCCAGCTGCAACTGCACTGTACGCCGACGCCCATGCGTCTCTTTGAGCATAATCCAAAATTCCCGCACCAGAACCCCGTTTGCAACCGTGACTTCCTGGATATTCTAAATGCAATCTCAGACACTGCGCAAAACCACCATGTCCTTTACTTCAGTTTAACCATTTCTTTTCAAGCATAAATCGTCATTCACAAATAATGATCCAATGCGGTACCTTCCACCCGGCCAACCTTGCGTGTTCTACGGCTGCTGCAAGATCACCGTCTGTTGCTAGAACAACCTTATCGCGGTCTTCATCTTCATACTACAAAATGTGGGCTATCAATAAGTTGCAATTTATATAATGGAAACTCGAAATTGTCAAGCCAAATAAAGAGATCGGAAATATTGGTCCGAGTGAGTACCAAAATCTGAGGCACTTGGTTGCGGTCAATATCATTGCCAACTCTCTGAAGAATTGCTGTTATAACATCTGTTAAATTCCGAGTTTCTTCTCTCGGATAGACCAACAAAGAAATCCAGTCAGGCCAACTTAAACGGATATCAAGGTCGAAATTAACTACGAACTTGGAAAAGCTCGCTAGTAAGATACGAAGGAAAAAAGGGAACAAGCTTTGCTTCCAAGTTTTCAGCCATCCATAGCTGTCTTACCAATCAAAGTTTACTACTAAAAAAACAAATAATCTTACCTTATTTGACATGTGGGAATAATCAAATGCCACAAAGAGACATGAAAATACATCCATAACTTGTGCAACAGCTCTCCTATTATCTGATTGACGATAACGAAAATAGAACAAGAAACATACCACAAGAAAATCGATGCATCCGGCCCTTCCTATCTTCAAGTTTAAAAGAAAAAGTATTTGACATTCCAGATGATGGAAAGGGAAGAGTTCTAACAAAATCCGTTTCCTCAGAAGCCAATCTCATTGAACTTTCACTGAAATGTCACACGAACGTGTGAGATAAATAAATAACTTTAACTGCAAAAATATTAGGTAATAACTATTTGACAATCACAACCTACGCAATTCATCTTCATCCTCAATTGGCGATAAGGCCATGGCAGAATCCCAAAACTTCTGCATCATAGAACTTGCAGCCTCATTGCCAATTCCAGATGCATTTCCAACCTAATCACGAAGGAATGCTGAAGTCACATAAATCTTCACAATCATAGATTATAAAGCTCCAAGCAATATAAATACATTGTTCAAAGCCCGGCCAATATTCTATATTAATTTTAAAATTTTAAAATTTTAAAATATTTCTTCTCCCTGCCAGAGGCTCATTAGTTCATAGACTTTAAACGAGTCAACAATTGTTTTGATTTTCATCCCTAAAAATCCCCACCCCATCAATGTTCACTAGGTTGAATCCCAAGTAGATGGCCGACAGGGTCTTAACACTAGACTAACCAGGTAATCCTCGAGACTATAATATTAACCAATTTATCTAGCCCTTGAGGTTGTAAATCAAAAAATTCAGAGAAATGAAAAACGTAGCCCTCATGATTCAAAGATTTCGAACTGGAAGAGGAGATTGCGGGTTACTTGCTAGAGCTGGCGCAGAACATAAGAAAACTGGAGGGGGGATCTTGATGATTTTAGTTAACGACGCTTTAACATGAAGACAACAAACAATAAAGGAGTAACAAAAATAAGACTATTTAAATACAAAAATAATGTATGGAAAGGCATTGAATTTCCGCCTGTATGAGAGCAATTCTTATTGCAACATAATATAGAAAACTTTTCAAAGAACATCGGAAGGTCTAATATTTCTCCATACCAACTTGACAATTCAAACGACACTGCTCACTCGTAGGTCATTTTTCTCTTCGGAAAATAACAACACTGATAATTTCAAATTCCAAATCTTATCATGGAAAACGTGATTAAGAATTTGGACACGACACGTCCAGGAGCATCTTAATAGCCATTTGAAAGTGATATAGCTCGACCATAGTCTATCTTTTATATCATCGTGTTCTAACACTTATTTTTGCAATATGAAGAAATAAGGTCAACGATACTAACAAAAAAAAGGTTCCAAAAGTTGATGAACTCACCGTGGCAACGGCAGCATGGGTGATATGTATTACATCAGCTACAGCAACAACGTTTCCTTCTGCAGCCAATTAACCGTTAGTATCAGAAGTAAAGACGATAGCCTTAAGTTCACAGATGAAACCTTTTCTTGTTCTTAGGATTAAGAACTACATAAACGTTACCTCTGTCTATCACTGGAAGATGCAAAAACTTTCCATCATGCATAGTGTGCAGAGCGTCAACTATCGGAGTATCAGTTGATGCACATTCAGGATGTGGAGTCATGACCTTTAACATGAAACAGAGAGAGGTGATATTCAGTTCTGAAGAATACAAATCTGGCATAATCAACGAGAATAAAACAAAATTTACAAGATACAGAACAATGTTTCTCTTATATCTATTCATCTTGCAATTTCTGTTGTATTTATCTCCGCCCCAACCCCAATCTAAACCAGCACCCCCTTTCAATTTAACCAGTAGAACTGTACTGACAGGAGGGGAGGCGATACACTCCTTTATACTCCATGCTAGCTGAAAGAAATTACCTTCTCTACAAGTGTGGATTCTGGTGGAAGATTTTGCGCTATTAATCGCATCAAAATATCCTTTGACCTGTAAAAGACAAAATATCAGGATACGTGAAATTGTATCTAATTATAAAATCCTAAATGAAGAAGAATTATGATGGTACCCACGTGAGAATTCCTTGTGGCTTGTTATCAACTGTCACGACTGCAGAACTCACTCTAAGTTCAAGCATCTTTTTTGTTGCCATCAAAACTGTTTCTGTTGGTGGAACTGTAACAATCCTGGAAAATGAAACGTCAATAAAAGACGCGATGCAGATGATATTAAAAACCAAATATTTTTCACCAAGAAAAGTATTACCTACTTTAAATTCTCAGGGAGTACCGTAGACAGAGATGGTCTGAACATACGGTCTCGAAGTGTCTCGATAAAAGTATTAGGACCTGTACATCAATAATAGCACAATTTAGAGTTGTTTTTTGGAAGGTATTAATATCATAGGAGATGATAATCCACAGACCAGAAACAGAGGCTCCCCAACTTTTTTCAACACCTTCAACTGCTGCTGCAATGGCCTTTCCCTTTTCAGCTGCTCTTTCCATTCGTGCAATAGCATCATATAAACATTTCGCAATATCAAGTAATGCAATGACCTCCCCATTCTCAACTACAGGCAAATGTCTAAATTTTCCTGTAGACACAAATATCAGACCGACATAGCAAGAATCACTACCAAATACCAAACAGCACGGCACATTAAAATGTGAATGTGCTTCTCAGAATCATACGAACCTTGAACCATCTTCTGGAGGGCTTCGACGGCTAGGGTGTCAGAAAGAACAAAGACTGGATTCCTCGTCATAACTTTGGACACTGGTGTTTCTTCAATATTAACTCCACAAGCAATTACCCTCGTGGCTATATCCTTCCATCAAAAGGAAAAATGAATATATTAGTTTTTTTTTTTAGTTGCAAGGATACATTTACCCTTAAGGCTAAAGGAAAGCCAATGTTAAACCTTGTCAGTGAGGATACCGCAAAGTAAAGCATTTGAATCAGTGAGTAACAAAGCATCAACTCTACGAGCAACCATCCGACGACAAGCCTCGTAGATGGTAGTACTTTCAGGAACTGTCAGTGCTCTTGACAGCCGCAGTCGTTTCACCGTACGCTCACCATTGAGTTGTCTTTTTCAAATGTAAATGGAGAATGGAAAATCAGGTTAATATATCTTGACTTCACCAATTTAATTACTGTATCCAACAATTATCCTATAATTTGTAACAGGTCCAGGACAGGTACAACAAAGTAATCCCATTCAATTATATTAATTAATCCCTCAAAAAGTTGCACGATAAAATAAGAAAAAATACACAATTCCTACATGATGCAACCACGTGATATAGCAGAGTACTAACGTTCAAATACAGTTGCTAATCCGTTAAAATGTTACGCAATGAAATATTGATACTTCAGTTTTCATGTAGAATGTAAATTCCATTTTGCCCAAACAGATTCTTGATGAGATGAGCTGCTAAATTTTACAATCTCACACCAAAAGCTTGGGAGGGGTTGTTCTGAAGGTTCCTACGATTCTTTGAAGGATTTTAAATGATCATCTGAGTGAGAAAACGTAACTACATCAAATTTCAACTTTCGGCTTTGAAACATTCAAAGAAAAATCTAAAAACGTGCAATAGGATTCAAAAATAATAATATGCCAATTAAGGTGCATGCGTAGGCATAACAAATCGGGATAAATGAGAGCATCTATAAAATAGGATTTAAAAAATAGCGATTTACAATGAACGAGCGGATGAAAGAGACTTCCTCGGTGTATCCGAGCTTCCGTTCTCATTGATTTTCTTCCTTCCGTGAAATGATATGTTCGTCAAGGACATACTTCTCCTAGTAGAACCGCCTTGACTAGTCATTTCCTCCGATGGTTTTCACAATGTCAGATAAGACCTTGAAAACGTTGCAACAGAAACTCGTTCAACGTCAATTAAAAGAAATGAATATGAGAAACGAAACATGATCCAATTTAGACGCTAAAGAACAGTGAGCAATTAAGATTCAATTCTAACGAACAACTCCCAGTTTTTGAAGCAGAGAATCGAAATAACGAAACAAATAGAAAATCCAGAAACCTGAAATATGTCGCTTCTTCTTCAACGTCGAATCGTCCCTTTTTTCCCCTAGAAAATCGTTAACAGCAATTTTCCGCCCTCAGAATGTGATTGTTCAAAAAATTAAGAGTTATACCCAATCGCGCCAGCAACTAAATCGGGAGCTGAGCGCCAAAACTGAATGGAGAAATGGGGTCAATAGCGAAAATCGATCGGAAAACTTCGAAGATTCAAAGAAAAGTAGAGGACTAACGGTCGGTAATCTAATCGGAAAGTTAAAAGATTATCCGGGAGAAACTACCGACCGTCGACGAACAGGAAAGAGAGCGAAAAGAGAGAGGGAAGGAGGAGGAGAGACCATAAGAAATGGGACGAATCGAATTTTTGTAAGAGGATGGGGAGAGTGGACCAATTGGAATCGTCCACGTAAACGAAACTAACCGCAACAACTCGGTAATATTTCCGAGGAATGCTTCCGTTTGGCGCTAAATAAAGAAATTCATTTTCAAGTTACTATTTTCCCCCTTTATTTAATGCACGTACAAAGAGATTTAACTTTCAAATTTTAACTTAAAAAAAATACAATATAGTATATGATAATTATAGTTAAATTAAGTTTATTTGAGTGATTTATTTAATTAATTTGTGTAGAATAGATTAGTTTAATTGCATTTATACTTTAACATCCAACCCCAATTTTATAATTATTTTCTTAAGTTTCCATTTACTTTTGAAATTTATTTTCGGGGCTTTATTTAATAATCATCCTTTTAAAAATTGGTCCTCCACTTTTAACCCGTGGAATTCACTCCTCCACTCTCCCCATCACCTATTTCATTCCTAATTTAAGCAAACTTCCATATTTATTAGGAGGTTCTCAAATTCCAACCTATTTTTTATTAATTTTTAAAATTTCAAAATTTAAGATTATAGTATAGTATTTAACAAAAGAAAATTTAAAAATATACCACATTAAATTCATAAATTAACTAATTTATTTATTCATATAAATATTTTGAATAGGTGTGTGAAACATATTTATATAATACAGGATTGAAAACATGTCCCATAGGACATGTCTACTGTGGAGATTGAGTAAACCGACTTTTGATCACTATCTCGATGATTACTATTCTTTTTTTTTTTTAATCATTTATGAGCTTTGATTTACCATCTCTATCCATAAAATTTTAGAATGGACATTGGATCAATAATTTTTGTGTTTAAAAGTTGAAATTATTTGCTTTTCAAAAAAGCATGATAATGTAAAAATAATTATCAATTACAAAATAGTTGAAAGAAATCTTATAATCCCACTTACAAGGAACTCATACAGTTTTATAGACCCATTGATGATATATTTATTTGGATGGAGACAGATTTAGTACCCGAGTTGAATAATCTCATAACAAGGGGACAACTGTTGAGTGATCATGTAGACTTTTTGTGAATTGAGTTAGGTGAAAGAATGAAAAATAGATAAATTTATGGGAACCGGGAGAGCAATGCATCCCCAACACAGCATTTGACATTGAAAACAACGTTTAAGACGTACGAAGCACCAAAAGGTGTCTGTGCTGGAAAGTTGTATGTAACCGTGCAACCCGCGTTAGTTCAATAAAGTTTTTGATCTGACGATGGCTGAAAAATTAAATTAAACAAAACCCAAAAATGGCACCGCCTCATCCGTCCACGTGAAGCATCAAGATCGACGCAGTTGTCGAATCACTGTCCCACTTCCAAGTTTGAAAACCCCCACGCCATTGCTTCGCCCTCTCATATCTTCCATCCTCCCAGCCCCATCCCCATCGCCATCGCCAAAACTCACACCTCCTTTTTCTGTGGTTCTGCAGGCGAGAAGTTGAAAACACATCCATCCAATGGCAGATTGGGGGCCGGTGATTATAGCGGTGGTGCTGTTCGTGCTCCTCAGTCCGGGGCTGCTGTTTCAGATCCCAGCCAGAGGAAGGGTGGTTGAGTTTGGGAACATGCAGACAAGCGGGGCTTCCATTTTAGTCCACGCCATCATCTACTTCGGCCTCATCACCATCTTCCTCGTCGCCATTGGCGTCCACATCTACACTGGCTAAATCTTTGTTTTCCATTTCATCTCTCCGCATAAACTCATGTCGCTATTACTTTGTTTCTTTCTTAACTTCTCCAATTTACGGATTATTGTTGTGAGACTTGTGCTATTACTGTATCATTGGAGTTTCAGCGATTACGGTCTGTAAATTTGGTTTGCTTACGAAACGCGATCCTTAAATTCACTGGTTAGCTGTTGGATATTTGATTCGGGGGGTGGGGAAGAAGGTGAAAAAGATCCCGATTCGATTCTAATACCAACCGCAGTACGATTTGAAACAAAAGTATGAGATCCGAGATACGATCCCCATGTATGAGATCCGAGATACGATCCCCATGGCTTTTATTATCATTAACACGGCTTCTTTTACTGTCTCATCTCCCTGTCGGCCACCGTTTCTGGTCGGCGACAGCTCCCGTCGGCGGACTCAATTAGAATTCGGCCCGACCCGACATTTGCGACTTGTCCTAAATTTAGGGTTTTTTTTTTTTTTTTTTTCTTAAAATTAGTTTTAGACCTTTCTCTTTTTTAAGGAAAATTCAGTATTTTGATAAAGGTTGCGTGTCATTTCACTATAAAAAATATAAAAAATTGGGGCGGTGTTTAATGGATAATTATTAAAATAGAAGAAACTAGATAATTATTTGATTTTATGCTAATTAACCCCACAAATCGAGAGGGGAATCAATTTAATTTAATTTAATGATTGTTTTCAAACATTATTTTTGCACCCATTAAAATTAATTTTGAATTATTAAATTTTTTTGGAAATAGAAACAATGATTTAATCATTTTAAACTTAAAATCAATCCTAAAGCTATTTTATGTCATTCAAATTTTGTTTTAGATTATTTAGAATTTATTTTACTCGCTTGAATGTTATATTGGTTTGTAAATGCTCATATTTAATTAAACGTCAATCAATATGGTACTAATTTTATTACTATGAACTATCCATTATTTAATTGGTTTTATCTTAAACGATTAATTTGCAACAATAATTTCTCGAATGATACAATTTCCGAAAGGACAATTTACGTTTACGGCCCATTTATTTAGCCCATAATAGTCCAAAGCCCATACACTTTGGCCCATTGAAACAGCAAAGCCAGATTGTTGTATCGCCCTCTCCGACTCGCCATCACCTGAATCACAGACCACGCTCGCTTCTCCTCTAGAAATGGCAGCTGTAGCTCGCTTTTCCAGGAAGGCAATTGCCTCAGCGGTTGCGACCAATCAACTCCGCCGTGCTTTCTCGACGGAAGCGTCGAAGACGATCGCGCCTTCACCGGATCGAGTTAAGTGGGATTATAGAGGTCAAAGAAAAATAATCCCGCTCGGCCAGTGGCTCCCTAAAATCGCCGTCGACGCCTATGTCGCGCCTAATGTGGTCCTTGCCGGACAGGTTAACGTTTGCGACGGGGCCTCCGTTTGGGCGGGTTCCGTTCTCCGCGGCGATCTCAACAAGATTACAGTCGGATTTTGCTCCAATGTGCAGGAGCGGTGCGTTCTCCATGCTGCTTGGTCCTCCCCAACAGGTTCAATTCAACTTACATGCTTTTATGTGATCTTTTCCGCCATTATCAGTTTATGGTTTTTCTCGAATTTGGTAGTTTGGTGATTGTTTTCCTCGGTTATTTGAAAATGTAATTGTTAAAGGGTCCTTGATACTACACACGCAATTTCAGTCCCTGTTTACTTAACAAGCATCTCCAGGGGATAGTGATTAAGTCTACACATTGTTTTCGAATTCTTGAAATTATGGTTCTGTTGAGTAGCTGATGCCATATTTGTCCCCGGTTAATGTAAGAAATCAAATGAAGTATTTTAGATCGTGGTTTCTCGAGACTCAGTAGATTCGAGTGATTGGAGGTAGTGCCCTACATTTTTTTTTTCCCTTGATTTTTGACAACCTTTTCTGGGTTAGTAGTAATGGGTATTCCATTGTACCATTTTGTCTTGATTCTTCTTTTTTTAGTAAAATACTTGTTTGATTCTAAGCTAGCTTTTTAAGATTTCTAACTTGATGGCAATCTCTACCCTGAATTATCAACCAACATCTCAACAAACACCTCTTCCTCAAAAGTACACTATCAACTTAATGTACACTATTTTCTTTGATCCTTCATTTCCTGTTTTCATCACTTCCTCTTTTTTTTAATGAACATCAAAAATGGAGGTTGTTCTATCGATTTCAGGGATTTTCCAAGATTACTTATTTGGTGTCAGCTCCCGTCTGAATCTTCATTGGTATCTTTGCTTATGCCTGAAATTGTGAGCAATCATATCATCATTTAACAATTAGTGGATATAAGTAGGAGTTACGATGGGATATTGATAAGGAGAAAGCAGAGAAAGAGCAAGTCATATAGAGAGAGACAGAGCGAGGTGGAGAGAGAGGAATGGGAGGAACTGGAGAATTGGGTTAGAGAGAGAGAGTAGAGTCAAAGAAGGAAGTACAATGGAGACGGAGAGAGGCTAAGAGATATAAAGAGGGAGATATAGAGCTGACGAATAGAGATAGTGCAAATGCACAAGTTGAAATGGCTTCTTCTATACTTTTTTAGGTTCAAGTGCATACTACTTCCAAGTTTGGCCTACAAATTTTCTGGGTTTGCCCTTGTTTATTGATACGATATTCATACACTTTAGTGCATAGTATTGCATTTTTCAGTATTGGCGGTGAAGTCTTCAACTATTTGCTTCTCTGTCTTGTTTTTAAGTCATTTTCTTGGTCTCTAAAAGTCTGGGTGTAAAGCTGAAATTCCAGTCTTGTCCTACTACAATTGGATAATAGCCAAACCCCAAATCTATTAAGTTGGTTTCAGTTATTCATATGATCAGTCCCAAATGTGAAACTTCGGCTGTTTAAAATGTATATTTTCAATCTTTATTACAGATATATTACTATGAAGGAAATAGATGAGAAATACTAATGAGAAAAAAAAAAAAAAAAAAAAAAAAAA